TTGTATTTTTCAGATTATTTTTTAAATTTTATTTTTAAGCATCTCTATTCTTCAAGCTGCCTCATTTTAATGCTTATTAAAGCAATTTGAACCAGTTTTAAGGCATTCGAAATGCCGTTTTGAGGAATTACTTATATTGAAAATTTTGTTTGAACGTTCTATTTGTCCTCTATTTAGTGAACATTTTTGTAGAATTCGAGCTGTTTTTAGTCGTAGGCTTAGATTATTTGTTCTTCATACACCCCATTTCTCGTTGACGTAAGCAGCAAAGTTACCGATCGTTGCTTTTTATTAAATCGGGTAATATTCCCATTTTCAGACTTAATCATTCAGAGATGGTCTCTTCAAGTGATAATAAACAAGATCACAAAACTCATCGAGGTGTGTCATTTGTTTCATTAACAACCAATTCAATATTTTCGATGTGTCGTTCGAGTATAACGCAAAATAATTTTGAAAACAACGCATTGGATGAGGTGCATTCCTACAGGAAATCCAACCAAAATGCATATATATATATATCAAGACAGTAACGTTATCATCAAAAAAATCATGCAATTGAATTTCAATTTCAGCACACAAAGTTGGTGGTAAAGTGAAAAAGAAAGGACGTAGTAACAATGCAGCAGATCATAAGAATTTGAAGGCGTTCACGTTTCGATCCGCCATCAAAGCCGCCCGAGCCATTCGAAGGTCTCAATTGAATCTAATATCGTGTTGTTATCAGTATTGTTGTTGTTAATTGATTATGACAACATATGTTTTAAAGAACGGCCGATAAAGATGAGAAGAAGAAGCATATCCCAATCGTTGATCGTAGTCCTGTTGAACCACCACCAGTTATTGTTGCTATTGTTGGACCTTCCAAGGTATTCATTTGTTATTATTATTTATTTGCAAAATGCAAATAATATTGTTATTGAACAAAATTGAAGGTCGGTAAAAGCACATTGCTACGTTGTTTGCTAAAGCATTATATACGACAAACAGTAAATGAATTACACGGACCGATCACGATTGTTACTGGAAAGACGAGAAGAGTGACCTTTGTTGAGGTCGAAAATGATATCAATTCGATGATCGACGTCTCGAAAATCGCCGATTTGGTTCGTTCAATACATATTCATTGTAACTGTTTCATACTGTTATTATTGTCGTCAGTGTAATTATAATTATTTTTATTATTGTTAAGTATGAATTACTTATAGGTGTTATTGATGATAGATGCATCGTATGGTTTCGAAATGGAAACATTCGAGTTCTTGAATATGTGTCAAATTCATGGAATGCCTCGTATAATTGGTGTTTTGACACATTTGGATGTGATTAAGAAGAAAGAGAAATTGAAACATACCAAAAAGCTTTTGAAACATCGATTCTGGACCGAAGTTTATCAGGTGAAAACAAATTTGTACTAGCTTTGATTATTTTTTTATCTTGCGAATTTTAGTTATCTTCATTGAACAACTGAACAGCACAACTTCGTTATTATTCATTCAGCTTAATAAATTTAATTCAACCCTTTCCAAAAACATTCAACGAGATTTTAGTGCCGTAAAAGTTTCCTTTTTCCTCACTCACAGTTATGTACGGTAACAAATTATGAAGATTCCCTTGCTCTAAGATGTGTATTTGCATTCGGAATGTGCCTCGCCACTCTGATCGCTAGTCATAATAATGATAATACTATTCATAATATTGATGATATTAAAGGGTGCCAAACTGTTCTATTTATCTGGCATGGTGAATGAAATGTACCTCAGGAATGAGGTCACCAATTTGGCGCGATTCATATCTGTTTCTAAGTTTCATCCAATTGCATGGCGTACATCGCATCCGTATATCTATTGTGATCGCTACGAGGACTTGACCAATCCTGAGGTTTCTGTTTATTTGTTTATTTTTATTTGTTGTCATTTATTATTTATTTATTCCGTGTAATTGTTTTGATCAGTTGATATAAACAGTAAAGTAAATGAGTTCTTGTAATGTTAAGTTGATACGTGAAAATGCGTTAGCAAATCGTACAATAGCATTGTACGGCTGGATCAGAGGAACGTTTCTCAAGAACCATTCGGCCGTTCATATACCAGGCGTTGGTGATTTACGTATCAAACAGGTTTCTTTTCATCATTTATTATTTGATATGCTTTAGCAACTGATAATAATGCTAAAGCTTTAAATTTATTATTATCTTTATTATTATTTGGCACTGTAAGGGATAAAATAAAATGAGAGAAAGTATTAGATGAACGCTCTGAGTGATCCGTGCCCGTTGCCGAACAAACAAAAACTGAAGCGGTCGTTGAATGAACGTGAACGTATCATCTATGCACCGTTTTCTGGTCTGGGTGGTATTCTCTACGATAAGGTTCGTTGGTTACCTTGTTGTTTTTAATTATTAGTGCGAGTTGTATTATTATGATTATTGATATTATTATTATGATTTCATTATTATTCACTTTATTATTATTGTAAAGATTTGGTCAACATAGTAAAGAATTAAGGTTTTAAATTATTATTGTTGTGAAGAAATAATGATGGTAATAATAAGTGAACATTGAAGGACGCAATATACATAGAAACGGGTGGATCACATTCGTATTCATCAAGACATAAGAGGAATGAATTGGTGAACGGATTGGAGAGTTTGAAAGAGGGCATCGATGATAAAATGAATAAATTATCAATGAAATTGATCGATAACTCAAAATCAACCATTGATGTTGATAATTATGATGGCAGTGAGAACGGTGATAATGATGGTAATGAGTCGACATCAAACGATGAAATGTTATCAGAAGGTTGGTATTGGACAATGACCATTCATTATTTTATGTGGCATATTTGTCAGTTGTATTTTTGCGTTATTTGATAGTAGTATTCTTTACTTTCATTATTGATTTCTGATTGTTGTTACTCTGATTATATGACTGCTGGATTATTCAAATCCATGATCATGAGTATAATCTTCCGGTTCCTTATCACTTCATTTTTCGCGGCTTCATCGAGTATTCGAGAGAAATTTTGGTATTTTGACATGACTTAATGAATTTAGATGAAGGTGACGGTAGTGGTAGTAGTAGTGATGTATCAGAAGATGAAGTGGAGAGTGGTGATGAATCGGATAG